AGCCCTCGTTGCGGTGCTGCCGACCAACGTCACACGCCACCGTGGCTGCCGCCCTCCGCCGCCCTCGCCGCGGCCGCCGCCCTCGCCTCCTCCCGCCGCCGCCCTCCCCTCTGCCCAACGCGCCTCGCCGGCTCTGCACGGAGGCGCCGCGCTCCTTCGGGCGGGGACACACTCCTCCCTCCCCTCCCCCTCCCCCCCTCTCCTTTCAGGTGGGCGGGGGGCTCTTGCCTTCGGCTGAGCCGGAGGCGGCGGAGCTGCGTGTCGACGTGACCGACGGCCGCCTTCTCCTAGATGCGGAGCACGGGCCACATCTCCCCACATCTCCCCAGATCTCCCCAGATCTCCCCAGATCTCCCCAGATCTCGAGGCCTAGATGAGGCTTCCAGATCGTCGTGCTCCAACTCGCACTCGAGAGGACACACCTCCCCATATCTCCCCATATCTCCCCATATCTCCCCCATATCTAGCACTCGAGAGGAGACATACGCTACGTCCCACGTCCTCCGCCGCACTGCACTGTCTTCACACCACTCGCAGCCCGCGTCTCCCCGCGGCGCTCCGAGCACTTGGCACGAGGAGAGCGTGCTCGCGCCCCGAGGGCCGGCGTGTCCTCGTTAGGCCGCGCCTACTCCAAGGCAGACTTTGTCTCCTTCTACGGCGGGACGGCCGAGTGGGAGAGAAGCCCCGTCTACCACCCCCCCGCGGGGCCGGGCGGCGCCGCCCCCTCCGAGCACCACAAGTCGGCAACCGAGGCAAAGGCGGAGGCGCTGCTCCACTCAAAGACGGGACAAAAGATGCAGGCGGCCGCCGCTGACTGGGGCCTGCCCGCCAGCTCCGAGGACGCGGCAGAGCTCGACAAGCAGGCCGCCTCCTTCCTCGGCTCGTTTGTGACCGCCGCGCCCGCCTCCGCCTCGCGGCCCCCGCGGCGCGGAGTGCCGGCGCTGGCTGTCGCCGGAGCCGCCGGCCTCGCGGCCGCCGCTCTCGCCGCGGCGTGGAAGGTGTCGGCGCGACGCCCAGCTGCGAGTCCGGCCGGCCCGTCGCTCGTCTGAGCGGCTCCCACGACCCCCCGGGGCGGGCCTGGTTGTCAGGCCAGGCAGGTGTGCCAGGATGCCGGAGGGCGGATCGCATACGGAAGGCGTGCATGCCAAAACCCCAGCGCTCGTGCGTCAACCACATGCAACATGCACATGCACATGATGTGCATGTCTCGCCACTCTGGTCCTGTGCTGTTGTGTCGGGGAAATCCATGCTTGTGTAGAGTAGAAGTCGGGTGCGTGCCTCTCGCTCCACAGCGCTAACTTACGCGTTACGGCTCGTAAACTTGCGATGTGTCGTGCTTTAGCGAGCGAAGTGGGTGAGACTGATGGTGCTCATTCGCCTTACATAGGGAGCGTTCAGCTGCACTGGGCGGGCTTCACAGGCATCAGGGTGGTGGCTGGTGCTAACGGTACAGACTACAGTACGGTAAGTCGGTAACATACGCGAAAGGAATCGACGCGATGTGCAACCGGCGCAGGGCGAGACGAGGGAGGGAGCAGCGAGGACTTTGCGGAGATCAGCAGGAGGATGTACGAAGAGAGAGATTAGGAGCAGCAGGGACCCGAGGGACCATGTGGAAGACGGCTAGTGCTAGTGCCTAGTCCGACACCCCCATCGGGAGGACACCCCGGCTAGTCGCCGACCACTGAGACACCCACAAAGAACCCTCGCCTGCACAAAGATCGCACGGGTGGGGACCTGTTCCTTTTTACCCCTCTCACAGAGAGTGCGCTTCTTGGGGCACTTGGAGTGCGGTTGGTAACCGCACGCCCAGGGCCCCGGAGGGCCGGCGGGCCCGCGGGCCGGGGAGCTAAGAAGCGCACCCAGCGGGCCGGATGGTCGGGATTGCGGGCTAGAGAGCCCTAGCCCTGGGGGAGTGCGCGGTCGCAGGGCCATAACACGGGTCTTCGAGGGATACTCCGCGCTTTGGGTGTCCCCAGCGGCGGAGCGTCTTTATTATTTTATTCGTTATGCTCTGCAGCTGGCTTTCGGTGGAAGAGAGATGGCAGATGCCGTGCGCTCCCTCAAAGCTCAATCACGGGACGACAGACTTTGAGCTCTGGGAAGACACACCCGGCCAACGACCATGACACCGTAAAGCGTAATGCACACAACACTGTCAACAGCAGGGGCAGAGCTCAACTTAACTGTGAACGTTTTGAAGGCACATGGCACAATTAAGATGCGGTGGGCTCCGCACTGACTCTCATGACTTGCTACTTCACACTGTGCGTAGTCAGAATGTCTCTCTCGCGCAGATTACGCTAGGTCTCAGACTTCCTAAGTCATACGGACCCGAGACTAACGCAAACCAGGCAGAGAGCAAGCCCCCTGCACAAATCGCAAGCCCACAGTGGCGCTCTAGCCGTTGCGGCCTCTCCGAGCTGCGCAGACACCTCAGCGTCCCCTCAGCGGCACCCTCACCACCATACTTGATGTGCCTCGCCCAATCTTTTGCTTCACCGCCCGCGCCTCCTCCTGCGGCCCGGCGCGCTTGAACGATGGCGACCGCGGAGTGTTCTGGGCAGAGCAGTCGTCCTCCCGCTCGTCAGCGCCCGGAGTCCTCGGACGCTGCTCGGCCGAGACGGAGGGCTCGGCGGAGACGATGGCACTGGCAGGAGCGATAGCTGCGTCTCGGGCACCCAGGACATCTTCCCTTTTACTCGCCCAGCCCAGGAACTCCAACGCCGCGCCAATGCAGAGCTCATCGTCCAACGACAGGAAGACGGAGAGGGCGTCAGGGCAGACCTCTGAGGCGGTTGTCACGGACTGAAGCGACGAGTTGCAGCCAGCCACTTCACATTCCGACAGCGAGGCCGGCATATCGCGAGCTCGCTGACGGCGTCGAAAGGTGTCGTTTCCTCTGGGACGCAACAACG